AGGACCAAATGTTGTTTCCAGCAACGTTTGCTATCTGTGTGCGAACTTAAATAGGCTAAGGGAGTGGCCAATTAACCCCAACCCTTACTCTCCAGGAGACCTCCTCCTGAGTCGCCACTCCTGCCTTTTGGCAGCCCTGCGTGCTCGAACATTGAGAAGAGGCTCCTCCACTTCATTCTCTCCACTGGAAGGAGCCTCTGGAGGTTCTGAAGGCCCAGGCTGAGTCTCTGCCTCTGGCACCACATCCTCTTCAGCCTCCTCGCTGTCCGACTCGAGCACCGGCTGCACAGGCTGCTGGCACGACACCACACCAGCCTCCTCGTTGTCGGGATCAGCAACAATCCGCGCAGGCCATTGGCGGGCCACAATATGGAGTAAATCAGGCGGGTGGGTTAAGGCAGATCCTCTGATAAGCCAGTCCCATTCCATGAAGGGTTTTCAAGATGATAATCAATGCCCTGAAATAGACTGGAAACAACCATCATTGGTGGTTAGTTATTATGAAATGAATCAAGGAGGATAGAGCTTGCCTGCTGTTTGAAGTTAGTATTCTATACAGGTCCCTCCTTCCTCATCAAGGCCTCCCTGAGGTGATCCTGATCTCTTCTTTGCTCGTTCCCTCCTTTCTCTTTCTCAAATTGGGGTTATCTTCAAAGTGACCTTGTTTCGCTCTTTGTTTTGATTTATGGAAGCGTGTCATGACTTTGGTTACAAGATGATGAGACTGCGGACAATTCTTCGTATATGACCCTTTCTAACAAGAATTGTGCTATAATTGTATTTAGGAGCAGAATACTTACTTGGGCCTTTGGGGAATCTGAAAATAAAAGCATTCCTATAAAAAATATATCGGCAGTCAAGAAGCAAGCAATTAATTTCCTTCTGTAGGGTTGAGGACTTTTCAAGCTGCCATTAAAAAGAGAGAGTGTTGCTGAAAGGAATAGCCACTGTGGGGGCCAGGAAGTTAACCAGGAGGAGGAAAGGAGGATGCATCTGAAGGCTCTGTTTAAATAAAGATGAACCAAGTTAGTTACTTCAGGGGCTGTGGTAGTTTGTAATAATTCTGCAGGCTAACTTAGTAGACTTCAAACTACAGTGGGGACATCCTTATGGATGCTACCATATTTTCCTTTTTTTAGCAGCCACGGGCAAGAGGAATAACTGCTACAAACTTAGTTGGGTGAGTGAATATCTTTTATTTGCTGGGGTGCTTGGGATGGAGGGGTGTGAAATCTCAAAATAAACGTGCCTTGGCTTTTGCATAAACACATGTGATGGTCAAGGATATAGGAAGCTGGGATTGAAGATTGAAGAGATTTCTCTGACCGCAACACCGAAGATGCTACCTCAACGAGGAATTAAACATCTGTAATTGGAAAAAAACAAGGGACGCAGTGGCTCAGTGGCTAAGACACTGAGCTTGTCGATCGAAAGGTTGGCAGTTCAGCGGATCGAATCCCTAGTGCCATGTAACCAGGCGAGCTCCCATGACTTGTCCCAGCTTCTGCCAACCTACCAATTCGAAAGCAGGTAAAAAATGTAAGTAGAAAAATAGGGACCACCTTTGGTGGGAAGGTAACAGCACTCTGTGCACCTTTGGCATTGAGTCATGCTGGCCACATGACCACGGAGACATCTTTGGACAGCGCTGGCTCTTCGGCTTTGAAACAGAGATGAGCACCGCCCCCTAGAGTCGGGAACAACTAGCACGTATGTGCAAGGGGAACCCTTACCTTAATTGAAAAACCAAACTCAGAATTCCTGCAACCCAATAAAACAGATGTGTTGGCTTTCCAGAAGTTCTAGGCTGTGGCCCTTTGAGGTATACACATCTGGAGGGCATCAGGTTGGGTAAAGCTGTCAGAGACAAGGGCATCAAAAAGAGCCTCTTTGCATTCTTTGCTTGACTGCAAAGACTTTGCTCTTCCACATCGGTTCCTGGAGACTGGATCTGCTGCTTCTCTAATGAGGGTGGATTTCTCACCTCCTGAAGGTTTATTTGGACAATCTTCTGAAAAATGGTATATGTACTTTTTTTCACCTGTCATTACACATTGCACATGACAAACTATTTATAAAAAAGGATACTCGGTTTGATAGCTGTTGGGATGGTGTATGATGGCTCTGCATCCCTCTGTAACTTTCTGTATCAAACAGGGCAGGAAATAGAATAGAATAGAATAGAATAGAATAGAATAGAATAGAATAGAATGGAATGGAATGGAATGGAATGGAAGGGAAGGGAAGGGAAGGGAAGGGAAGGGAAAGGTAGGGTAGGGTAGGGTAGGGTAGGGTAGGGTAGGGTAAGGTAGAGGAGAGGAGAGGAGAGGAGAGGAGAGGAGAGGAGAGGAGAGGAGAGGAGAGGAGAAGAGAAGAGAAGAGAGAATAGAAGAGGGGAGGGGAGGGGAGGGGAGAAGAGAGGAGAGAAGAGAAGAGGAGAGGAGAGGCGAGGAGAAGAGAAGAGAAGAGAAGAGAAGAGAAGAGAAGAGAAGAGAGAATAGAAGAGAGGAGGGGAGGGTAAGGTAGAGGAGAGGAGAGGAGAAGAGAAGAGAGAATAGAAGAGGGGAGGGGAGGGGAGAAGAGAGGAGAGGAGAGGAGAGGAGAGGAGAGGAGAGGAGAGGAGAGGAGAGGAGAAGAGAAGAGAAGGGAAGAGAAGAGAAGAGAAGAGAAGAGAAGACAGAATGGAGTAGAGTAGAATATAGAATATAGAATATAGAATATAGAAAAGAGACTAGACTAGACTAGACTAGAATAGAATAGAATAGAATAGAATAGAATAGAATAGAATAGTTTTATCGGCCAAGTGTGATTGGACACACAAGGAATTTGTCTTTGGTGCATATGCTCTCAGTGTACATAAGGAGAATAAAATACATTCATGAAGAATAAAAAGATACAACACTCAGTGATAGTCAAGGTTACTAATAAGCTATCAAATTGTACTAGGAAACAAATGAAAACAATATAAATTGAAAGATACAAACAACACGGTTATAGTCATGTGGGAAGAGATAGATACTAGGAAAGGAGAGAAGAAGAATAGTAATACAGTCTTAGTAAATTATTTGACAGTGTTGTGGGAATTAGTTGTTAAGCAGAGTGTTGAAAAAAAACTGTCCTTGTGTCTAGTTGTGACTTGTAAATGTGGATTGTGACTTCAATGCACTGGAAGGGCCCTGTCTTGAAGTCACTTGGTAGTCAAGCAAACTAAGGTCATCCAGAGAGACTTTGCAAGGGTGTCTGAAGAGAGGGTGGGGCTCAAAATAATCAAGAGGCAGCCCCAAAAATGCCCTTAAAGCCCCACCCTTTTCACACGTATTGCATGTAACCAAGGTGGGGGCTTCAGTCTCATGGGAGTGGCCATCATCTTAAATTTTTGAACCCCCCATTGGAATGAGCAGCATTCCAAGCCTGTTATTCCATGGTTATGGAGATTTTCAGTCAGCCAGGTCATGGTTGTCCTAAAGTGTTTTTTCAAGAGGCAACTGGACTTTCAGAGCTGGAGAAGCTTCCTGAATGAGAAGAGAAATGTCTTCAAAGAAAAACCAGAAAGTCCAGTTGCCTCTTGAAAAAGCACCTTGGAACCAGAGGTGGATTTCAGCAGGTTCTCACCAGTTCTGGGGAACCGAAGCAGAAATTTTGAGTAGTTCGGAGAATAAATACCACCTCTGACTGTCCCCGCCCCCATCTGTTCTCTGCCTCCCGAGTCCCAGCTGATCGGGAGGAAATGGGGATTTTGCAGTAGCCTTCCCCTGCCACGCCCATCAAGCCACACCCACCAAGCCATGCCACACCCACCAAGCCATGCCCACAGCACCTGTAGTAAAAAAAATTGAATCCCACCACTGCTTGGGACTGTTATTCCATGTTCACTATCGGTTCATTGTAATCAAGGAGGGAAATGAAGGAAAGAAACGATCTAGAATTAAGGAGAAACTTCCTAACAGCGAGGACAATTAACCAGTGGAACAGCTTGCCTTCAGACAAGTTATGGGAGCGTCGTGGCGCTCCCATGTAACACCTCTCCTGCGCGAGCTGCACTGGCTCCCGGTGGTCTTCCGGGTGTGCTTCAAGGTTTTGGTTATCACCTTTAGAGCGCTCCATGGCTTAGGACCTGGTTATCTACGGCAGTGGTCCCCAACCCCCGGTCCGCGGACCGGTGCCGGTCCGTGGAGTACCTGGCACCGGGCCGCGCAGCGGCCGGGGGACATGAACGCTGCAGTGCAAAGGCTCCTGGGCCGTGTGCAATGGGCCGTGCGCAAAAGCTCCTGGGCCGTGCCCCCACCCCTGCGCGCGCTCAGCGGGCCGTGGCGATAAAAAGGTTGGGGACCACTGATCTACGGGACCGCCTGCTACCACCAATAGCCTCCCACCGACCAATACGCTCCCATAGAGAGGGGCTCCTCTGGGTGCCATCGGCCAAACAATGTCGACTGGTGGCCCCCAGGGGGAGAGCCTTCTCTGTGGGGGCACCTACCATCTGGAACGAGCTCCCCCCGGAGATACGGAGGATCCCAGATCTGCGCACCTTCCATCGCGCGCTTAAGACTTTTTTATTTCATCAAGCTGGCCTGGCCTAAATCTTCTCCCCTTTTTAAATGTAAATTTTAATTTGTTTTTAAATTATGGGGTATTTTAAATTTGTCTCAGCCAAATTATTTAATCCGTTTTTATTCTATTTTAAATTTTGTATTTATGTGTTTTATTCTGTGGCTGTTCACCGCCCTGAGTCCTTCGGGAGTAGGGCAGTATATAAATCCAATGAAAAAGAAGAAAAGAAAGAAAGTTGTGGGTGCTTCATCATTGGAGGTTTTAAAGAAGAGACCGGACCGTCACTTGTCTGAAATGGTACAGGTTCTCCTGCTTGAGCAGGGGGCTGGACTAGAAGACCTCCAAGGTCCCTTCCAGCTCAATTCTGATTCTGTTATTCTGTGTTCCTTCTTGGTTCATTCTTCATTCTATGTTCACTCCAACCTTCTTATTTTATGTTCTAAAATTCTAGTTTACGGTTTAGAGTGCAGTGCTATCTGTTTAAAGGTCAGTCAAGTCATGCAGTAAAGTCAAAAGGAAGGGACCATATCTGGATAGACAAATCATGTTTATCCCTGAGCTGCTTGCAGAGATCATCATAGATATTTTTCCAGCCAACGGACTATTTTGTAGCCTGGGCTGGGGGGGAATGGAACTGATCAAGTGGCTGATCTGATTGCATTGTTGCTGCCTTGAAGGGTGGGGCCAGGGCAGGGCTGAAATGCTACCGGTTCGGCCGAACCGGTAGTAAAAAATGTTTTTAAAAAGTTCCGACGATCAGCTGAGCAACCCGCGATCGTTGGAACTTTTTTTTTTTACTTTTTAGGCATTTTTTTACTACCGGCTCAGACGAATAGGTAGTAAAAAATGCTTTTAAAAGGCTCTGACGATCACAGCTGTGCTGCGCAATCATCGGAACCCTTTTTTCATTGGGGTGGGGTGGGAGGGTCCGTTTTTGTTCTCAGCAGGCAAAAACCGGGGGGGGTAGCCAAAAAACAGGGGGGGGGGGGGGTGGGTCTGTTATTGAAAGAAAGAAAAAAAAAAGAGAGAGAGAGAGAGAGAAAGAAAGAAAGAAAGAAAGAAAGAAAGAAAGAAAAAAGAAAAGAGGGAGGGAGGGAAAGAAGAAGGAGATGAAGGAAGGACTATGAACCTGGCACTAGACACAGCTTCAGAGGATAATCCAGGGCTGGAAGGGACCTGGAGGTTATCTAGTCCAACCCTGCTCCAGTAGGACGTTGTTAGTGAGTTTCTGTCTTTTGATCCCCGAGTCACATGGTTACATAGCCACGCCCACCCAGTTACATGACCCCACCAAGCCACGCCCACAGAATCCGTAGGAAAGAAATTTAGATTTCATCACTGGGCTTAAAACAAAACAAAACAAAAAAAACCTTGTAAGCTGCCCAGAGTGACCTGTCTGTCAGTTGGGGGAGGGGGCTTATAAAACTGTTTAATAAAAATAAATAAATACATAAAACAGGGGTGTCAAACTCCGGCCCGCAGGGTGCTTAGATCTGGCCCATGGGGCTGCCCTGGAAACAGCAAAGGACTGGCCCAGGGTGCCTCTGGCTAGCAAAAATGGAGCAGCCCTCCTGAGCTCAGTTTTCACTGTCAGATGGTTGCAGGAGGCTGTCCCAGCCGAAAATGGAGCTCAGGAGGTCATTTTCACTGGCACGGCACTCGAGCCACCACAGGTGCCCCCGACATGAGTGACTTCGAGTTGGCCACACTGACCCTGGCCACACCCATCCCCCGAGGAAGGGTGGGCTTCAAAAATTTTAGCAAGGGGTTTTCTGCCTGGTTGCTGGGTGGGTATGGCCATGGTAGGCATGGCTACCATGGGTGGGTGTGTGTATTTTGCCCTCCCCAGGCTCCAGAGGCGTTCCTTGAACTTCCGGGAGGGCGAAAACAGCCTCTGAGGCTCTGGCAGCCCTCTGGAGGCCGGAAATGGGCCCATTTTTGGTCTTCCTGAGCTTCCGGTAGGCCTGTTTTTCGCCCTTCCTGAGCCTCCGTGCATGCCCTGCACTTACCTGCATCCAAAACGGGTTGCATGGGGACTCCTGGGAGGGGCAGGGCAGGGTGGGTGGGGCCAGCCAGGAGTGGGATTTGGGGGGTCTCTGAACTGCACAGAATCTTAGCTAGAAGTTCTCCTGAACCCATCCTGGCCCCTGGAGGTCAAACACAACCCTGATGCGCAGTCTCAATGAAATCGAGTTTGACACCCCTGACATAAAGAAACAAATAAGTATAGACAGGTGTGTGTGTGGGGGGGGGGTTGAGGGATGGGAGGGGGCTGGCTGTTGATGGATGTAAAGAGGCTTCCCAGGAAACAGCAGGCCAATTTTCACCTTGAGGAAACAGTAAACAAAGAGAAGCGTTTTATTTTATTTATTTTTGCAGGTGGGGAAAACATCTGAAAAATTACAAAACAGACTTCAGCACTTCGTTAAACACACAGCTCTTTCAGAAGTGCAGCCGATCCCCTCTCCCCGTTTCCATTACAGAGACAAATGGCAAATAAGACCTTCTTGAGAGGACCAACATTCGTTCAACCATCCCTGGATTTCTTTGGAAACCAAGATGTGGAGTGTTTACCATTTGTTTACAGTGTGTAGGCAATGTTTACAGAACAGATAGAACTCCTTCTATAAAATAAACTCTTCGCCCCTTTTTTTCCCCCCGCGTAGTTGAATTTCTGGCAAACACTTCAAGAAACAGCATTAGAAGGAAGACGTCTCAGCCAAGTATCTGGGAGGGGGAAAAAAATCAGTGTGTGCCATTCAAACTTCCATTATCAAGGTTATTTACAGAAATAATGATAATAGTGGCTTCTCAAGGTGATTTCCTAGGAGACACACACATCTTTTTATCATAGATAACCCAGAGACACACGTTCACACACACACACACACACACCCCTCTTCTAAGCTTATAGATTTAAACGCTGCAGCCGAGATTTAAATGTGAACAGGGGAGCAGAAAGAGGAGATAACAAAGAACCAAGGAGGAAGAGAGAAAGCTAATTGATTATTGCTGCTAGGCCATTGTCTATGAGTGCAATTTTACTTCCCTGTGGCCTAGATGAGACAGCTTCAGGAGACATATAAGGAAGCTGGTTCCTTAGACAGCCAACTCACTGAGTGAATGACCAGGGCGAGTGAATAAGAGTTTGGTGGGGAGTGTGATGACCCGGGATGAGGCACGAAGGTCACACAGCCAGCGGAGAGTTCAAACTGCCTTTTAATGCTCCAAATTTCCACCCCGAACGCTCCCACATTCTTGGCAAGTCCCAGAGCAAACAGTGCATGCGTGCGTGTGCACACACATGGCAGCCTCTGACTGTGCCCAGTCCAGCAAAACAAGGGAACAGGGAAATGAGTCCACAAACCAAGGGACAAACAATGAGTGTACAAAGTAGGGAACAAGGTACTGAATCCACAAAGTCAGGAAGAAGCAAGCAGTCTTGCAAACTCCCAATGTCTGTACTGGTACACCCAACTCTACCAATTCAGCATTTGTTCCCGACAAATTCCCCTCTCCACAGTGTCCCCTTAAATCTTAGTCTCCAGGTGTGCCTTGTGAAGAGGGACTGGGCACTCTCTTCCCAAGTCGTCAGGTCAGCCTACGCTGTTCTCGCCTTCTCTCCACTCTCCATGCTCAGGGATCAGGAGGGGATGGTCCTTGCTCATTGCCTGAGCTCTGTCATTCCTCATGTCCACTGCTTGCTCTCTCTCGGTCATCCTGCCCCCATTCCTCCCTGTTAACAAGCTGTCCCAATCTTGAGGGGCCCTGTGCTGCCTCGGCCTGCTCCTCCCCACATTCCTCCGAAGCCAACGAAACCGCCCCCTCGATCTCCATCGGCTCCAGCTCTGGCTCGTCCTCCTCCTCAGATTCAGGCTCCGGTGGGGGCATGACAGGGAGGACATGGGGGAAGCATTTCTTTTTAATTGTTTTCATAGAACAGCTCCTGTGAATGGGGCAGAGTGTACCATGTCCATTTGCCTCCCTGAAGACAACAAATATTAGACACTATACACATGCCAGTTGGTCACTTTTCTGGAAGAGAGAGAGAAAGAACTAGAACTGAAACTGTTGACCCCCCCCGACTTTATCAAGAAAGTTAGGAAGTTCATGAACTGGACACAAGGAACGCTCAGAATGAACAACAGAACCAAGGAGCTTCTCAGAAGATAGAAGAAAGCCAGTCAGAGGGTCAGAGAGATGGAGCAATGTGGCAGAATGGTCAAGCCTATGAAGCAAAGCTCTTCTCTAGGGCTTCTGAACAGATCCTGTTGAGATGTGCTACCTTCCTAGGACACACATGCAGGACGCAAGAAAAGGAATCACAACATCTTTGACAGGGGTGAAATCTACTTACCTTCCCTACTGGTTCGGAAGTGTGTGCGCGTGTGTTCCATGTGCGATTATGGATCCTCAGAGCATGTGCAAAGCCTTCTACACATGCGCAGAGGGTAAAAAACAGGTCACTTCCTGGTTAAAACCAGGAAGTAATGACGTCCGGGCAGGTGGGCGGAGCCTCGCGCTGCTGCTGCTACCAGTTCTCCGAACCACCTGCCACCACTGCTACTGGTTCTCTGAACCACCCACCGACGCCGCTACCGGTTTTCTGAACCACCCACTGCCGCTGCTACCGGTTCGCCCAAACCAGTACGAACCAGTAGCATTTCACCCCTGATCTTTGAGCCTGCTGACAAATATTGATGCCCATTCAAATATCTTCCATACGAGAACTAATCATACAGACAGACATGGTTTGCAAGAGTCGATAAACACAGAGCAGGAGGGTGATGGAGCTACAGGCACGGGTGATGCTTGCTTTATTCCCTTCTCTTGAAAGACGTGGCCTTGTTTTCCTGCTAGGAAAGTTTCTTCACAAGATGAGAGGTCTTTGTAAAAATAATAAAGGCGGGATGCCAGCCAACTAACGACAAAATGAGTTCAGAAGGCCCCCTTACAGATCTTAACAAATGTGACCCTGTTTTAAACTTAATAGTTAATGGCAGGAGAATGTGGAAGAAACACATAGTGTACTGAGATCCAGGAACTTGGTATGGGGACCCAATGGAGAGCATTTCAGTAAGAAGAAAGCAAAGATTTTATTGTGAGAAATGCCATGTTCACTGTTAGGATGTGGTTTGAGCCTAACAAGTTGTCCAGGCAATATATGTGTTCTGTAACTTTAATGTGAATACGTATTGTGTGACTTTAAAGTTTTACTGCTGATTCATTGTAATGTTGAGTCATGCTGTAATTAGATAATCACTGGTTGTAAACGTATTTAAAGAAGGTACTGTAAAGTATTCAGTTGATGATAAGTTAGCATAGTGTGTGGAGTTGCTACCATTGTGCTATCATCATTGGATGGATCTGCTACCATCTTGGTTTGTGAACCAGAGTGAACTTGTTATTCTAACCAACTACTGTTTGTGTGGTAAGAAGAGTTTTTGTATCACTGGACTGATTTAACTGGCAAAGACTTGGATTGATTTAAAGACTATGAGATTGTTTTTTCACTATAAAGTAAACTTTTGATAAACCAGTTTGCACATCTCTTATTCATTGCTCTCAGCAACGTTTCTCTGTGCTCTACACTCTGCTGGTTGGTAACACAACAACAATATCCTTAACATTCACCAAGCAGGCAGAAATCCTGGCAGGGCCATGCTTGACCAGGATTACAGGAGTTTCAAGGAGGAGAGACAGAAAAAAATGAGAGGATTCAATTATCAGTCCATCTGTTGGAAACCCAACTCTGCCAAGAACCCGCTCCTCCCAATTCCTCAGTGGTCTTGCTGGATGTTTTTATTTTCTAGAAAACTGAAGAAGACATGAAGGGATCAGCGTTCCTGAATCCATCTGTAAGCAATAGGGAAGAGCTGGTTGGAAAGATAAAAGCAGTGGGGGTGGGGAGGAGGGAGGACTTATGAATCAGCCAGCTTGAGATCAGAGTAAATAATTCAGCTATCAATTTGGAATATTTAGAAAATAATGCATTATGGAATTATAACACTATGGAATTATCCATAGTGGAAATGGTATTGTGAGCCACCCTGAGTCTTCGGAGAGGGGCGGCATATACATTTAATTAATTAAATTAAATTAAATTAAATCAAGAAAAAAAAATATTGCAGACATTTTACACTACTCACTTTCTCTGAGGGGTGAGGCTTTGATTGTCTGGTCATGGCTGCCATCTTGACTTTTTTGACCTCCCATGATACCCCTAGGACACCTGGTGTGCCTTACAAGACAAGATCATAGATGGCTATCAATCTTCTCAGATAAACCAGAAAGGAAATGGAATGAGATGAACTAAGTCTACTTTTTTTGTAAGGCTACATTAAGATACAGATACAGATTAACAGAGTTGGAAGGGACCTTGTAGATCATCTAGTCCAACCCCCCACTCAAGCAGACCCTACCCCATTTTTGACAGATGGCAGTCCAGTCTCTTCTTGAAAGCGTCCAGCTGCTACTTTTAAATCCTTGGTCAGTTAAGGCGGATCCTTCTTAAAACCCTTTTTCTGATGGTTAAATGACTGGGGAATCCTGCCTGTCTTTCGGAATTGCTTCCTTACAGCATGACCTCTTCTCTCCTTTCCCCAAGGTCATTCACACATCCCATTGCCATGGCCTTTGGACAGGTTCCACCAAACGGGATGGCAGAGAAATTGCCTAGATCAATGTTTCACAACTAAGAATAATAGAGTAACAGAAAGGACCTTGGAAGTCTTCTAGTCTGACCTCCCCTGTTCAAACAGGAGACCCCATCTCTTCTTGAAAACCGCTGGTGATGGAGCAGCCACAATCCTGGGTGGCAAGCTGTTACGCTGATTAATTGTCCTCAATATCAGTGTCAATCCTGAAACTGACCTGGGAGAAGCCATCTTGGAGCTTCAGTGTTGCCACCAGCGGTGGGTTTCGGATTATCTTACTACCAGTTCGCCATGTGCATGCATGACCAGTTTGTGCACATGCCTACCTTCCGCACATGCACTTTGCTTGCACGCATGTCTCCTGCGCATGTGCCCTGCCTCAAAAACGTGCCTAAATAGGATAGCATAGAGTGTTGTCACCCAGGCCCAAGTAGGTAGTAGTCGACGCAAACAGTTCCAAAACAAACAGACTTTATTAGAACATCTGAGAATTACCTCATTCTCAGCGTAGTCCAAATTAAATCAAACTCTTCATAACGCAAATTCTTCAGTCTAATCACCAACCTTGGTATAATTAGGTAAACTGCCAAAGGCTTCTCTTGGCAAAAGTTCAGAAGCAGAAGATAAGTGCAGCAAGACAAGAAGCAATTCTCTCAACGTTGTTTTCTGGCAAAGAGGCCAAGAGCCATTTCTGGTCTTTTAAGCCTTATGGGAGGGGCCAATCATCTCTTGGCCCTACTCCCGAGTCGTCCTCTCTGCTTTATCTGCTGCCTTCTGGCAGCTCTTCTCATACGTGCACTAGGAACTCTCTACTGTCAGCCTCTGGAGGCTCCGGAGTCCACCCCTCATTCCCAGATGACTCTGGCCCCATCTTTGCCTCCGACGCAGAGCCCTCATCCGGGCCTTCCCCAGCCTCCAGGACTGGCCCATGTTCTTCCTCAGCCTCATCGCTGTCCGACTCCACTGCAAGCTACGCAGGCTACCGGTTTGGGCGAA